AGGATCACTGGACAGCAGGCCCATCATAGAGACAGGAAAACAGAGGCTGAAAGTGCAAGGCCACCCCTTGTCCATAGGCTAAAACATCTCATCAATATCATTTCGCCGTGCTTCCAGTCCAGCCCAGGACCTAAGACCCCTCTATCACCCACTTTGCCCTCTTAGACCCAAATGGAAAGAAATGGAAAGTTGAACTGTGCCCAGGAACCCAGAAGCTCAAAGCCAAAGGGTCATCCACAGTTCCCGGCGATGCCCAGTCCTCTTGTTGGCCTCTGATCCCATCACTCTGGGAAGAACTTGGAAGCGCTTGGATGTGGAGGGTGCAAGCTCAGGCTGTGAAATTGAGTTGGCATTTAAACGAACTAGCAACAAATTGTTCAATTTAATTTGCTTAGTCTGATACGGAAAAAATGAGAAAACCCATCCAATTAAAAATATCGATCCACAGAAACTGGCAGCTCCAAAGGCCTTGCTGGAAGTTAGTGCTTGAGTGATGCAAGGGTTATGAGTTACGAAAAAAAACAATCTATTCTCCTTCTCCTGCCCCCAGGAAGGCTGCAAAGTACACTGAGGAACTCCCCCTTTAAAAACTGGGAAACCGCGTTCAAAAAAGGAAGCAATTTGTTCGGTTCAATCAGCAGGGCCGAGTTAATTCCAGGACTGCTGAGGCCCAAGATAGAATGGGTTTCATGCTAAACTCCACCCACTCCAGCCACAGGCTAAGGCTCTTGCTCCTGTTCTTTAGCATCATTCCTTACCTAGCCTTCCGGATCTGGTACCCCCTCCTGCCTGCCCAGTTGACTGCAAGACCCTGGACAAATATGGCATTCTCAGGGACACATTTTCCATTGACGGCAAAAGGGCAGCTTGTTCAGCCCTCCTTAGGGTGCCACCAGTTTGAGGCATGGGACAATACAGCAGGCCCTCCCCAAGTTTAAAGGAACCAAAATAAGATGGTTTCATTGCATACGAAAATAATGCTCCCTTCTCCAACTGCTCTTCCACCCTATTGCTAGCAGTCAAAACTCAAAGTCTCCAGCAACTAGAGATGGAACCGGTCAGCCCTGTCATGAGGTCACAAGGCTTCTAGTCTAGTGCTCTTCCCAGGCCCACCGTAGGCATGGCCTTGGCCCCAGCCACAGTGCCAACGCTTTTTTGGACCTGTGCTTAACAAAGCTGTTAGCTAGAAATGCATCTTCACTGCCCTCTCCACTGGGGCTAGTTGAAGCTGGCTTGGTGTCAGGCTGTAAATCAGGACTAGATTGTCCTTCCAGGAGAAGTCTGCCTCCAAGGGAAGTGAAATCACTTAGTATTTGGCAGCTCAGTCCCTGCCAGGGGGAAGGTGACTGCAACTGAATCCATGGCTAGAATGGGACATGACTGCTCCTGTTGGGGCCAGATGGCATTGCGTGCCTGCCTACTCCAGATCCCTGTTCAGAGCCAAGTACACACGCACACACACACACACACATACAACCTCCCTCTGCAGGTTACTTTAGCTGTAAGTAGGCAGGATGAATCTCACTCCTACAGACCTGAGCTCAGGGAACAAGGGCTAGGAGACTCACAAATGCAGACGGGCACTGGGACAGGAGTGGAGACCAAAGACAACTTCAGGGAGAAGGAGACATTAGAGGTGACTACGAAGGAGGTGGGGGATGATGCAGGCAGAGGTCTGTGGTAAGGACTAGGAGTAGGCTGAGTCCCTTGGGAGCCAATTCTGCTTGGGTTATGGGCTGCTGTGGTCATGTGCACCCGCAGCAAGGCCAGGGCAGTGAGAACTTACAGCAGGGTGAGGCTGAGGGGAAAGCTGCGCCTTGCAGAGCCCCCAGCGTTCAGCTTGAAAGTGCTGTGCCGTGCAGGTAGCTGCCCTAAGTGCTGGGGATGCAGCAGTAGGGTGTGGACCGTCTAAAGAGGAAGGAAGCAGGAAACCGAAAGCGGATACACAAAATGACTACGAAGAGGGAGCAGTACTGCGGAGATCACCGAGTAGATGGGACTCTTGTGATGTGGCGCTCTCCAAGGGGTCCTCTCGGGTCCTGAAGCCAATGTGCCGGCCACAGCAGGATCCAGAGGAGAAGCCAGCACAGCAAATGCAAGAGGCTGGGTGTGTACAGAGAGAAGCAGGGTGACAAAAACAGTGGTCAAGATCATCACAATGGCAGGACCTTGTCCATGGACAGGACTGGGGGCCATGGGCATGAATTTGAATTTTCTCTGAAGGATAATGGAAAACTACTGGAAGGTTTCAGCAGAGGAGTGATGGGACAGGATTTTCATGTTTTAAAATCTCTGGTGGGCAGGTGAAAGATGGATTGCAGACACAAAGGCTGGGGCCACGATGTCACCCTGGAGGTGACAGTAGCCGTCTGGGGCCAAGGTAGGGGTGGTGGAGGCGGGAGAGGTGCATGGATGGTGTGAATGCACTGTAGAAGCTAACCTTACAGCATTTCCTGGATAATCGGGAGTGGAGGATGTAGGAAAGAGAGGAGCCCAGAATGACTGCAGTGGGTGTGGCCTGAGGAACTGGACGGCTGACCACGGCATTACCAATGTGGTGAGGATGAGCAGGCTTGGGAGAAGAGCAATCCAGTGTGCGTCCAGTGCCCCCGCCAATGTCGAAGTTCTGCGGTGTGGTCAGGTCGCTAATTGGGTGGATGCCGTCATCTTGCACTGCCTTCTGTAGGACTGGAATGACTATTCACATAACAATTTTCTTTCCATCAACTTTAAATATGCACATGTGTTACTTTAGCTCAGTGTCAAGCCATACTATCCAGAACATCAAGGGTTTTGCAGGCTGCTGGTATTTTATTTTCCAAATACACGCAAAAAAAAAAAAAATGTAATGGCAACCATAGCATCCAGGTCCCCTTGCAATTCGACAGTGACATTTCTTCCTTCTTCAGCCTCCAGGAGGGCCTGGGCACCTACTGTACCAAGACTTGGGCTGGATAGAGCCATTGGCTTGGACACTCAGGAAGTCCCAAAGACAACTGAAGAGACTATAATGAGGCATTGAAGAGAGACTGGTTCAATAGCTCTCCCATGTCTTGGGGACAGTCAAGAACTGTCCCTCAGGGCCTGCTCAGTCCCTTGCTTGGTAGGGGGAGTCTGGAAGGCAAACCCACCCCACTTTCCTGAGATCCATGCGCCCTCTGGTGGTCGGGTTCCTTGTCTGTGGTTGAAGGGGTAAATAAGGAGGGGTCCTCTGGCCTGGCCACCCTCCCAGGAAGGGAACAAATGGCCAGACCAGCTTTCAGTTCTGGAGCACTAACAGATAATACTGCTGGGGCTGGAACTTAGGCTGCATAAGGACGGGGTGGCAGTCCTTAAGCCACCGAGGGTAAGACCTGAAGGGGAAGGTGAGTGGTGGGTGGGAATGCAGGCTTCTGTTTCCTGTAGAAGGTCACTAGTGCAGAGAAAAGCAAGTTGATGGGATGCATAAATAGGGCAATTTCCCTTCGGTGTGCATATTTAAAGGAAAAAATTTTTAAATTCTAATTTAAACATTTTAAAATTAAGATCAGGAAACATCAGGCCGCGATGCATAAATACAACACATAATGGAAAATGTACTTCGGTTCTTATATTACAGCCAGCTACAGAAGAGACGGAGGCGGAGGCCAGCCACAGGCAGAGTCATGTTCTAGCTCTTGCAAAGGGAGCTGCCCAGAGGGAGTGGGTGGGGCTGGTCAGAAGCAGATGCTGCCTGCTGCGGCTGACATCCAAGTGCTCACCTGGGCACTTGCACTGGGTCCTCTGAGGTGTGCAGATACACGGCGCCCACACTGTCACTAAGGATAGGCATTGGGGACACCCAAAAAGGTTGTGGAAGCCAGACCCCAGATGTCAGGGGAAAGGGAGTTAAGGAGAGGGGGGAGCTAAACCCTGAAGTCTGGGTCTTGTGCCAGTGGGACCTAGAGGGGCTCCCTGTTTCATCATAGGGAAAACCAGCTTCAAGACTCATTGTGCATTCCATAGTACAGGCTGGAAAAAGTCCTCACCGTCTGGGGCTGGGCTGAGGCTGAACCAGGCTCCAGGGAGCAGCCCTGCAGAGTCCTTGGGAAAAGCAAGACAAACACTTTCAGTGCAGTCACGCCGCTGCCCCCTGCCCCAGTGCCAACCTAAGTCTACAAGACTGACGGAGTGTCCAGGGTCCAGCGCTGGGGGAAAGTGAGCTCCTTAATGCACCTTAGCAACAAGCATCTTGGCAGGCAGCTGCCTGAGTCTCCAAGGTCTCATCCTTCTATTGGCAGAGCCTCTCTTGAGGTGAAAAGGCTTGGAGCCTTCTCTTCCATCCTGATACCCAAAGGAAGGGCTTACCCAAAGCACCGGCCCGTCATGAGTGCTGTCTCCCCACGGCTACCACTCTCGAGGCCCAGGGCTGGCCTGATTTGTGTTACAGATCCCTTTGGGTGACGTTTCCCCTGGTTAAGACTTATTACCATAAGCCAGGGTGAGGTTGGGAAATCACAGTAAATCCAAAAGCAGTGTGGCTAGAAAACTGAATCCACAGTAAAGTACCTAGGGACACCAACAGCACAAATGAGACATAGGCAAGCCGGATGGTGGTAAAAGAAACATTTCCAGTGCAGCAAAGAACTCGAGTGAAAAGACAGTTTGCAGAATGGGGCGACCTGTTCTCACACCTCATCTGGGAAGAGGATTACAACCTTACTATTCAAAGAACTTGTGCCACTCAACCCAGTTAAAATGGCCAACAAACTCAAATGGACATTTCTTCAGGGAAGACCTAACAAGAGCCCAAGGGCCTGTGAATATATGCCGCAGATCTGGGGCCACTCGGGAAGGTAAGATATCATCTCATCGCCACCAGGATGGCGACTGTAAAGAGACCGAAAATAAGAAATGTCAATGAAGCCACAGAGAAACGGGGAAACTTGTATTCTGGGAAAACAATATGGCAGTTCTTCAAAAAGTTAACAGAATTGTCAGAATTCAGCAACTCAAATGAGCTATCTGTACACCCATGCCTGTAACAGGAGTATTTATTTATTTATTTATTATTTTATTTAAAGAAAGAAAAAAACCAAAACAGTAAAAGGGTACAAGGAATGCAGACTTTCAAAAAAAAGAAAATAAATAGTAAGCAATCACTAGTTAATAGATTACATATTGTCATCTTAGAAATAGTTGTTCAAGTTACAAAATTAAAGCATACAAAGTGGACATTGAAACAGTGAGACTGCAAATAGTTCTGTTCAGTGATCCAACAAAAACTCAGTAATATGGTCATCTATCTTACACACCTAAACACATTTGCAGTTGTATCTTTTAGAGCACTTTGTTTTCCTCACTTTTTTACAACAACAATTGCACATTTTGAGTTTTATTACTTTCATAGTTCTTATTAACTTTTTTTTGGAAGAGAATAAAACCAAATATGACATAACAAAGCAGTCAGTCAAAACAAAGGATGGACATAGTACATGATGTCAACACAGAATACAAGGTCATCTACAATGGTTACCGTAATGCTTCTTGCCACCTTAAAAAGAACATTAACAGGAGTAAACAGACAAGTGTCCAGCAGCAGATGGAGGAATAAGCAAAATGTGGCCTGTCCACGCTGAGAATCCCATTCAGCCTTCAAAGGGGAGAGAACATCTGCCGGAATTCGGGGTGTCGACAGTAGTAGGCAGAATCCCTGAGTAGTCAAGTTGGTAGAGACAAACAGTAGGGCAGTGGTTGCCAGAGGTGAGAGGGGTGCCGAGGGCCTGGTGGCTGGCCTCGTCTCCTCATCACAATGTGAGTATACCCTTTAAAGTCTTGTTTGTACTGGCCCGTGTCTGCTTACACAATGATCGCATTCCTCGTGGGGAGCTGGTACATGAGCGCAACACACCTTAATTCTTTTTCTCCCCCTTTCTCTGCCCCCCACCCCGTCTCCCCTTCTGCCATTTCTCGGCCCTCTTCCCTTTTGCAAAAATCTCTATCACTGTTTCCTATTACCTTTGCTATTGCTCTGTAATTTGGTGCTATTTCGGGTTTCTCTGATGAGAGAAGCCATGCCACGTCTAAGCTTCCGTGTCTGATGTCTTTCACTTTGCATCCCAAAGTGCAGCCGCTTTCCGACACATGACAAAGCCTCGTGCTTCTCTATGGCAGCGTGGTACTGCACTGTGTACCAGCACGTTCTCTCCACCCACTCATCTGTTGGTGGGTATACAGCCCCTGTCTGAGACGCAGCTAGGGTGAGATGTGCTACTGTAAGCACGGGTGTGCACGCACCACCGTGAAACGATGCCTTTCACTCTCGGGGAACACACCCAGAATGAGAAGAGCTGAGGTGAGTGGACTTCCGACTGCTGGCTTTCAGAGGCCCTCCACGCCGATTTCCACAGTGGGCGTACTAGTTTACACGCCCACCAACAATGCCAGAGGCTCCTTTCCCCTCCGCAGCCTTGTCATCAGTCTTGAGGGCAGCCATTCTTCTGGAGTGAGGTGGCATCTCAGTGTTGGTTTAATTTGCATTTTTCCCCTGGCCAGAGATGGTGCTCAATTTTTTCATGCATTTGCTGGTGCAAATCTACTTAATACTATTGAACTATACACTTAAACTGGCGAAAAAGTAAATTTCTGTGCATTTTACCACAATGAATGAAGGAGTCAATCAGTCAATCGATTAACAACTGAACGCATCAGTGAATGCATGTCGCGCATGAACGTGAAGGCCTGGGAGTCCACACACTGACCCTCTTGCCAACAAAGCAGCCGTGGTCCCTCGGGCTCTAGAGCTCAAATTGCTGAGGCCCGGCCCAGCTCCCCAGGCAGAGCCAGTGCTTCCTGAGGGCATCTGGGTCAGCTGTATCAATTCATTCTCTCGCTCACTTGCACGCTCACTTCCCTCAGTGGCTCTTCGGGGTCACACGTAGACCAAGGCTGCAGGTAGTAGCACAGGACGCAACACAGCGTTGCCCTCAAAGAGCCCACAGTCTAGTGGAGAAACACAACCGTGAAAACTGACCACGCAGCTTAATAAGAGTCGGCACAGAGCGGCTGTTGGGCAGTGTGACAGGAGGATACTGCATGTGAACAGTGGAGAAGCCCAGAGCTGGGGTGACTCTCTGCGGACTAGGGGAGTGGGCGCAGGCAAGGGTCTTCTCTAAGGAGCAGCGCAGAGGAGCGAGAGCTATCCTAAAGGACCACTAGGGTTCTCAGGGGCAGGGGAAGACGGCACCAGGTATGCAAGCAAGAGAGTCTTGGAGTGGAGGGGTGAGGAAAGCGAGGGACTGAAGGGCGCAGTGGGTAGCAGAGTGGGGCGATGCGCACCACGCAGTTGGAAGGGATTTATTAACCCCTAAGTGCTCCTAGCGCACGTATTAACTTGCAGAGTCTCACGCCCACCACCAACTTTCAAGAACTCTTCAGCAACGCTCTGCGTAGAGGGCTGGTGGCCGCAGCAGCCAGGCAGCAGTGGCTGCTGGGCCCTGTCAGAAGTCCTGCTCCTCACCTCCTGACCTGTCACAGACCAGAAGCCGAAAACCTTAACATCCTCCTGCTCCGGAGAAGACTACGGAGCGCCCCCTCCTGGCTAGCAGACAGACACCGAGACCAGATGACAAAGCCCAGTGTTCTGAAGGACTCAGGCAGAGGGGCCAGGGCAGCAGCGGGCACATCACGCTGCGCATAGGCAGTTCATCGCCCAGGCCACCCATCCCAGGCTTCCCCTGGAGGACAGCTCGGCGGCTCTTCTCTTCCTCTTCAGGCCTGGGCAGGCTGAAGCTCCCGGAAGCCCAGCCAACAGTCCATACTGTCCACAGGCTTGGCGCTTAGCTACACTTGGAAGACAGCTCTTGGAGGGTTAGGCCAAAAATTGAAACCTCAGAGAGGCTTTGGGTAGATGCAGAGTGACAGGAGGACATTGCATGTGAGTCTGGACATCTACAGTGCTCAGCTAGATCTGCAGTCAGGGCAAGGTTGCCGTGGCCATCGGGCCCCGAGCTTTACGGCTGTTCATCGGCGCCGAGCTCAGGGCTGTTCATCCCATCCGACAGGTAATCATCCTCGTTCTGTTTCATCTTGGTCTCCAGGACTGTGATGCGCTGCTTGAGCTTCTGCTGGGCTCCTGTGTACTCAGCCAGCAGGCGGCCAAAGCGAGTGTACAGCGTCTCCATGTTGGTCTCCAGCTGCTCTAGCTTCTCCTGCACGTCCACCTCCATGCTGGCTGCCACCTCGCTCTCGTCCAGCAGCCCCTCCTTCATCAGGATCTCCCTGCCCCTCTCCTCCAAGACCTTCTTGGCATCCGGGTACTCAGTCACCGCTTCCATAAGGTCATCCTTGGACAGGCAGAAGAGGTCCGAGTAGCCCAGGCTGCGGATATTGGCCGTGCGCCGGTTCCCCATCTTGCTGCCCTTGATGTTCAGGATGCTGATCTCTCCAAAACAGCTCCCAGCTAATAGGAGGGCGTACTGCGTCACCCCATCATCGGCCACCACTGCCAACTTGCCCTCTTTGATGATGTACATCTCCTTGCCGATGTCCCCCTTGCGGCAAATGTAATCCCCAGGGCTGAAGACCTGAGGACGAAGCTTCAGTACCAGCTCCACCAGCAGGCCAGCCTCGCAGTCCTGGAAGATCCGCACTTTCTTTAATGTGGACAGGTGCACGTTGATGGCTATCTCGGCCCTGAGCTTGGCCGGCAGGTTCTTGAGAACTTCCCGCTCATCTACCGACTTCTTATTGGTCCACAGGTAGTCAAACCACCTAATGACCTTGGCTTCCATCTCCTTACTGACCTTGCGGAACTGCATGTAGTGTTTGACAGCGTCGATCTTGGCCTGGAACTCTGCCCGTGTGGCATTCATGTTGGAGATCATGGAGCCCACATTTCCTACGATGGTGGCAAAGATGAGGACACCGATCAGGAAGTCAAAGATGACAAACAAGTACTCTTCATCCTTTACAGGGGGTGGCGTCTCCCCAATGGTGGTGAGGGTCAGTGTAGACCAGTAGAGGCAGTAGATGTACTCCCTAGCCAGATAGCCGTACTCAGGGTCAGTGATGTTGGGGTAAACCCACGTGTCCACCCCAAAGCCAATGGACTTGGAGATGGCATAATAAATGCAAGCATTCCAGTGGATGATGATCAAGATGTAGAGAACCAGGTTGCTGATGCGAAAGATGTTGGGATAGCTGGTGCGTGTCTCCGTGCGGTCAAAGAACTCGAACATGCGGGCAAAGTGTAGCAGGCGATTGAAGCGCACCTCAGGGCTATGAATTCCCACAGCAAAATAGATCAGGTCGGTGGGGATGATGGAAGCCACATCCAGCTTGAACTGCAGGGTGTGGATATAGTTGTCTCGCAGTTTCTTGGTGTCTTTGACCAGCAGCCCCTGCTCTAGGAAACCTAGTGGGCATATAAGCGAGTATGTCACCTCTGCCACCGGTATGTTCCCCCCTCTAGGCTCATATACAGCAAGGACCAAATCGCTCCCTTAGCCCTCCTTTTCCCAAGGAAGAGAATAACCCATATAGCAGGGCTGGCCAGAAAGAACCCAAGTGACCACCCCAGATCTGAACCTCTCTAGGCACATGTGATCATGAAATTCAAAGCAGATCAGCCACCTACCGGAGTCTCAGCCAAGGCAGGTTCCTTGAAAATTTGGACTCAGGCCTTTGGCCTTGTAGGTCACACTGCTGCCTACGTGTCCTGGCTTTCCACTCACCTGTGCGCAGTCGGATGAGGAGATCTGCGACGTAGACCAGGTCTGACAAGTAATCGAGCACCAGCCACACCAGGAAGTAGCCTCTCTGGAGGTCACTGAAGCAGGCTCTGCAGGGGAACAGGGCTGGTCTCACCCTCAAGGTCTGCCAAAGCTCCCTGGTGGGTTCCACTGGGTGCCTATTTGTACAAGGCTTACAAGGCCACCAGGGACGCGAGCAGTCCCTAGCATCCCGGAGCTAGGCAGACACTGACAGGTAAGTTCTGCCTCTACCCTTATCACTCGGCAGACATGGCTCATACGCATCACCATTGCCGCCTCCTCCATTGGACTGTGAGCTTCAGGAAAGCAGACACCGACTCTTAGTCCTTAGCAATGCTCCATGCCCAGCTCCGGGTGCCAGGACCCAAGTGCTCAGTGACGTCAGCTGAGAGAATGAATGAGTCACTGGGCGAACTGCAGTGGGTGGCTGAGCGGCCTCTGTGCTCACCCCTTCGGCCCTCAAGGAGTGTTTAAACGTGTGGCGGGAATATTCCCACTTTAACGGTATATTTATTATAGTCAAAGACACACTGTCACGAGTCCCTCTGTCTTCCAGCCCACTTATTCCGTAGCTTTTGCCACTTTCCAGAGCAGTTATGAAGTCCCATTCGCTGAATGCCTTCAGTCACACTGTCCTGGCTGTCTCAGTGTCCTGAATGGATTCAAAAATATTTCTCATTCCCGGTCATTTGACTTTAGGGAAAAGTCAGAAGTTTCATGGTGCCAGACTCAGTGAACCAGGTGGGTGAGGACACTGTGGGCAAGGACACATGGTTTTAGGAGCCAGCCTTTCCACTGGGGGGCGCTGGGCAGCAGCGTTCACTGTGATTTTGATTTCACCTCACCAAGACCCTCAGAAAGGAGGACTCCGGAGCGGTTTCAGAAAGAGGCAAGAATGATGGCACAAGCGTTTCTGAAGAAGGGGGTGTTCTGAGGGGTTGCTGCGGCAGTGTCTTTGGCCGTAGTAATTGTTTTAACATTTCCGTCACACATTTCTATCACCCCTCACAGATTTGTGATCACCCACTGCAAAACACCGGCCATGCTAGGTGAAAGCATGCTGGTGGCCAGGCCAGAGCAGAGGCAGGGGGAATGGAGAGGCTGGCGACCACGGAGAGACTAAGAGGACTTAGAGTGGAGTGGGTGGGGCCGGCGGCCTATGGCGTGCGTGCTGCAGCCAGCTGTTCGTTATCACTGAAAGCTCTCAAGGTGCTCCATCACCGGCCTAGGAAGAGGGCAGAGCGGGGGATAGAGCCCAGGGTGGCCATGCGGTGAATGTACGTTACTGGGAGGAGGGGTCACAGAGTCCCACTCCAAAGGCTGCAGAACCAGCAGTGCCTGTCACGCTGATGGCCCAGCACAGCCTTCAGCCGCCCCAGGCCAGCCCAAGAGAAAGGCTTTGCGTGTGTTACTGCTACCCGAGGTGGTCCTTCTGTCACCCTCCTGTATCTGCATAGCTGACTTCCTCCTCAGAAGCCCTGGCTGTCATTTCTAGCCACTCTCTGCCACTAGACCCAGGAGTCACCTTATCTTTTGCTTCTTGTTTACAGTCTGTGTCCCCCACTAGCCTTCAAGCTCCAGGACAGCAGGGACCATGGCTGTGTTGCTCACCAGTTTGTCCCCAGCACGGAGCATGGAACTTAGCACCCATCAAGCTCTCCATGAAGTGCTTGCTGAATGAACCAAGGTGAAAGGCGGAGCTGGGTGCGACAGAGGGCCTCAAGGGCCATCCTTAGGGCTGGAACTTCATGGTGAGCAACGGAGAGCCACCGAAAGCTCTCCACAGAGGGAGCGGGTAACTAAAGCCATTTCTTCAGCACGTGCGTGTGTTGCGAGTGTGGCGGGCACACCAGAGAGGCTGCAGGTGCCCGCTAGGAGTGGCAGGGGCTGCTATAGCCCTCTCAAGGGTGGAGCAGGGTGGCCTTGCCTAGGACAGCAGTAGGTACGTGAAGAAGTAGAGTGAGCTACAGAACTTGGGAAAGGACAGACGTGAAGGGCTGGTAGCCTATCAAGTAGTGGGGAGTGTTGGGGTTCACAGGGTGGGCAGAGGTGCCATCGGCAGCCAGGGAACCCAGGAAGACGCTTGGGGTGTTCGGAACTGTGTATCCACAGCTGGAACTGATGTGTCCCTGAATCCTGGGGCTGGACACTGTGCTGGATATTCCAGCCTCTCCAAGGTCCCTCTCTGCTCACCTGGCCACTAGCAGGCACCAGTTGTAGAGGACGAGCATGGCAATGATGAACAGCCAACGGTAGTACCAGTCACCAGCGGGGTCCAAGACAAATAGCTCAAATTTCTTCCTGAAGAGACAAACTCAGGTCAGGGTCAAGGCCTGGGCCCCCAGGGGAGCAGCCTCTGGCTCCCAGAGACCAAAGGGTCCCTGAACATCACTGCTTACAGGGATGTGTGGAATGAGGGCTAGGTTGGCTTGGGGCCCCAGTTTCCAGGGACCTACAACCTCGAGCCAGGCAGCTCAAGGGTGAGGGACACCCCTCTTCCCATTCTGAGCACAGAGAGGCCCGCTGGACGCCCTGCGAAGGCATGTCAGGCACAGAGCTTTCAGCCAGGAGGCCTGTTCCCACGTCCCTCCCAGGAAGAGCAGGAAACCCCGGCAAGTGAGTGTAACTCACCCTCTCTTCTCAGTCCCTGGCCTCCAGCCTCCATATCACTTTCCCAGATGCTCTGTCCCCCTTTGTCCCCACTGACCAGTGATGGTGAGTGTTAGCTTGGCCACGCACCCACTCATCCCTGGAAGAACAGACCCTCCTGCTCTGCCTTCTTGGCCCTCCCCCTTCTCCTGTCAACCGTCTCTTGCTCCAGGCCCCTCACTGCCCATATTCACTTCAGGAGCCCTGAGAGGACATCTGGCGTGGGAGTAAGAAAGGTGAGGAAAGCCCTCAGAGGTTCCCATGACATGTAGACACCTGGCTGTTGGCGAGGCCGTGGGTAAGGACAGTGAGGGAGTTCTGGAATTAAAAACAGCAGGTCTCGCTGCCCAGCCCTTTCCCTACTGTAACAGCTCTTAGCATCATCCCTGGTCTGCCCCTGGCAGTGGCATTTGAAGCCCCGTTCAGGTCTTCCATTTAATGCTCAGGAGCCCTTGAGCCCTACTGGCTGGACAACTGTACTTGGCCTTTCCCTCTCCGTCCTTGTCGCCTTTGCCATCTGCCTGCTGTGTCGTCACCGTCTGGAGCTCAGGCCCACGGAAACGCTCAAGGAACGAATCAGGTCTAGGCTCCTCCTCACGGAAATTCTTGTTGGCCCAGTTTCTTATAACTCCCACCAGGCGTGCAATCCTAGAGGAGAGAAGGAAAGAGAACGAATGAGCCAGAAAGGAGACCCTTGCTGTTCTGAGAGGACTTGGCCCTGAGAGCTTGTCATGTGGTGAAACCGGAAACAGGCCAGGCCAATGATTTCCCGTGTGTTCTGAGAGCTGAGATAGAGGCCAGCGTTGAAAATAGGAGCTGGGGCTCAGGCAAGATCAGGGGGTCTGGGCTTAGGAAAGTATCCTGTAAAAAACAACCTCTCAGTTGAACGTGAGGAGTAAACAAGAAGTCTCTAGGGTACAGGGCTGTCTACCGAGGCCCCTCAGCTGTGAAGAACACCTCCCACTAATGCTGAGACAGTTGGCCCTCCCAGCTTGCCTCATAGGAGCCTTGGAGTTGTTCAGGCCTCTGAGGTCTTAAAGAAAAGCCCTGGGTGTCCAACCTGACTGACGCGGGGCAGCAGGTGAGTGAAGGAACTCACCTGCGGAAGCCACCCCTCCCCCGCCGCGGGGTCTCCATATCCGCCAGCCTCTGCAGCTCTGAGGAAGTATCGTCTTCAGCAGCAGACACTGGCCTGCAGAGAAAGGAACAGAGTTTTTCTGGGTGTAGTGGTGCATACCTATAATTCCAGCACTCTTGGAGCTCAAGGCGAGAATATCACAAGTTCAAGGCCAACCTGGGGAACTTAGGGACTGAATAGGACCTTGTCTCAAAATTTAATAAATAAATAAAACAGAACTGGGGATATAGTTCAGTGTGAAGGCCCTGAGTTCAATTCCCAGTACCACACATACAAAAAGGAGCAGATACAATCCAGTGCTCTCTGGGTATGACTTGTCTCACCCCTGGGACATACCTAAACATTTAATTGTCGCATTAGAAGACCTCCTGAAGCCAGACCTGGCTCTAGGACAATGAGGCGAGTCAGGAGGGGTTGATAACCTCTGGATCACCCCTGAAACCACCCTGTCTCAGCAGACTCACCTGCTGCTGGTCCTGGGGTCATCTTTGCCATTGGCCTTGATGGCAGGGGGCGGGTGATGGTTGTGGTTATTGGCTGGAGAGCTCTTCACACCGTTGGATTTTTCTGTCATCCTCCATGTATGGCTCAGACTCACCTGCCAGGAAGGTCACAGAGTACACTCTGTGACAGCAGGAGAGCTACTGGTGAGTAAGGACAGTGAAATCAGGGCTCTGCTGGCTTTGCTAGTTCATGTGTTCAAAAGTTCACTCGGAGCAAGGAAACAAAACATGTTTTGTAGCTTGGCACTGTTTTGCTGTGGCATGTCATCAGAGTGCAAGGGGTTCAGTAATTTTCTTGATATTTGGAGCCTGATGCTGAGGCAAAGAGGAACCTCACTGCTCCGCAGCAGGATCTGGGGTGCTGAGATTTGTCTCTACATCAGGGAGTTGAGCAGAGGAGAAAGAGTGCACAGAACAGGAAAGAAGCAGCTCAGGACAGGTGGAAGGCTGACTCTGGGGCAGCAGATACTCAGGGCAGCTGTTCCCTGCTTGGGCTGGTCAGGTGCCTCAGCGTGAACAACAATGGTCATCAGGTCTCTCCAGATTTCCCAGGGCCCCTTCTGCTTCAGGATCTGTAGCCCTAAAGCTGCTCCTGGCGTCCACAGCACCTAGCTTGCTCCAGGTCCTGAAGCTGTCACCATGGTGATAGCAGGCATGTCAAGCAACATCAGAGATGCTCACCCGGTGCTCTCTGCGGGACTATGGTACCAGGATGCTAATGAGGGCACCTTAGGGAAAGAAACTGGCATCTGTGAGTCCCTGCTTGGACCCGGGAGGCTGCAGACCATGGCGACCACAAGTTCCAGGCAATGTAAACAAAGCCAGCGCCATGCACACTGATCATGCCGATCAGTTCTCTAGCTGGCTTCTGGAAAAAGTGGCGTTGAAAACCAGGCTTGCAGATGGAAAGGAGAATGAAATACCAGGCCAGGCCAGCCCGGGGGAAACATCGTACACGTATACCCTCTCTGGGTTTCTGCCCCTGCATGAGGAATGTGCCCCTCCCTGCCAGGACAGCTTCCCCCCCCCCAGCCTCATTAACTAACTGATGGGTAACAAAGGCAAGCAGATGGCCCCTACCTCCCCTAGCCAGCTGCCAACCCCTTTGCTTTAGGGTTTGTAGTCCGAAAGCTGCTCCTCATGTCCACCATGGGCTGCACCATGGGCCTCCAAGCCTGCAGCAGCAGTGTTCCCTGGGGTCTGAGAGCAGAGAATAAGGCCGAGAAGCTACGACCATAACAGATAGCCTGAGTTGCTGACTAAGTGGAGGAGACTGAGGAGGAGCGGCCGAGGGGTGTGCGAAGCCCAGGAGTGTTCCAGGCGAAGGCAGGTGCCGGAAGAGAGTGGGCTGTTGGGACCTTGTCCACCATACTCTTCATATCAGGAAGATAAAGGCATCCTGGGAAAAAGTGTGTTGTCCTCTGTGATGACAGCAGATATGGGCCACTGGGTGTGATGACAGGGACCTGCTGGCAGCCTGATCTCCAACAGTGTCGCTGAGGAAGCTTGGTGATAAAATGTAGCTAATCTCTCTAGCTGCTTGACTGAGAATGGGCAGAGAGTGGGAACGAGGCAGATGTGAAGTTAGGAAAGTTTCTCTGAGTCGCAACTGTTATTATTGTGCAACAAGGAGATAAGAAAGCAAATTAAAAGGCTGGGAGAAGGGATGCAGCAGAAAATGACACTATGTGTGCTTTGGCCCAATTCCCGGGAGCTCATCAAGGTGGGTGTGAATTGGATTCCGGTACCAGAGGATGCGAGGGAGGACTGCTCAGGACCACAGGGGGAGGCTGTTGAGGAACAGACCTGGAGGGAAGGACGTGCCAGGTATTTTAGGTGTACGTGGGGCTACAGTGAGACATTGCTGTGGTCACGAGGAACATGGTGAGTGTGAGAACAAAACCCGGCTTGGCCAGAAAGGCAACAGGCCACACAGCAGCCACAGAGATCAGAGTCTGGGTAGAGACGTTAGAGCTCGAGAGCGAAGGGGTATGCAGACTTCCTGGCGAGTCTCAGCGCTCAGGCCACAGTGAGCTCAGGCACACCCTGCTGCTCGTCACTCATCCGTGTTACCTGCTGTGTGCCAGGTCCAGGGCTGGGTGCTAAGGTCACAGACACGGGCCTCACAGGGTCTCTCACCTCAGCCTTGTTCCCAGGTTAAAAGAAGAGACAGCCAGGAGCACAGCTCATCCAAAAAGTCACTTTTCTGTTCATGCAATATTTCTCAACATTTTATTCACTTCTTCCTTTTTTTGGTACCAGGAATCAAACTCAGGACCTCTCACCCTTGCCAGGCGCCGTGCTGCTGAGCTGCATTCCCAGCCACCACCTCCCTCTTAAAATAAGGAGTCCCAGCCTCCTTCTCTTCTCAGTGTTGTTTGAAGAACTCTCCTCTTCCTCCCAGCTCTCAGTGTTGGAGGGTCCTGAACCCAGTCTTTGAATGGATCCCTTGTCTCGTCTAGCTTTACCCTTTCCTCCCTGAGTCCCATGGCCTTAAATACAGCTGGAGGCTAATGACTTGGAAGCATAGGACACTGGCCCAACTGCTCCCCTGAACCCCAGTTTGTCTCCGTGACATAACCAGTGGGTGTTTGAATGGGCATCTCAGGCTCAGCATGTCCAAAATCAAACTTTGGGTCTCCGATTCTACCCTTGTTTTCATCTCGGTGAAACTGAAGTCATTCTCCCAGTTACGCAGGTCAAAAAATCTCAGTGTCACCCTAACTCCTCCCCTTTCCTACCTCACTCACTCTACTTAAGCAAAGCACGCTCGCTCCACCATGAAAGCCTGCCCTGGGTCTAGCCATTTCTCATGATCGCCAACAGTACCATCTGGATCCAAGCTGCTGTCATTTCTCAGTGCCTGGCACATGCTAGATGCTCACTGAATAAGCTTGGGCAGAACAATGTCTGAGTGATCCCTGCATTTTCTCAGCCTGCTCCTCCCTTTCCACTTACTCATCAGGCTACTGCTACATCAGTTAGGAACACACACCTCCACTTTGCAAGGATGGAGTAACAGCGCTCAAATCTACCCTTCAGAATGCAACAGCCAAACTTAGAGAAAAATATGAACCGACAGCTTTCAGTACTCTAAACAATAAGCAGCAAAGGGCAGCAATCCCTAGCAAACAGGACACACATAAGATGAGCCCTATGACTGTCCCAGATTACTCCCTTGGGAGACTTTCGAGACCAGAGCACAGAGAGGAAGGAGACATGCAGGGGGAACTTGACTGATCCCTTGGGTTAAGCTGACACAGAAGGGAACCCAAAGAGACCAAGCAGCTGGAGCATGCAGAGAAGAATATTGGCAAGGAGAGAAGTGCAGGGAGAGAGAGTGGGAACCTGAAGAAGGCCCTTTCAAGGATTCCGCTGAGCATTTTCAGTACACACCAGTGAGTCAGCTGCTCCTGTTTGAGGCATGAACCATTGCCTGCAAGTAGGCACCGCAGTCCTCACCTCTCACTCAGGGCCTGACGCCACCAGCCAGACTGGAAAGCCAGTGCTTCACAGGGCGCCAGGTAGAGTACCTAAAGAGGTCTTTCTGTAGTAGTGCAGAAGGATTGGTCCTTAGACTGTGCCCTGTTGCCATCCTGCTGAAAAGCATGCCTTAAAAGGACAGAATTCTTTCCAGGTAACTTCACTGCATCCCAGAAACAAGATTCAAGAATGATCTCAGAAATATAAAAATATCCAGCATCCAAGAAGGTAAAATTCATAAGGCATGCTATCTACTCTGAAGGTCCCCCACTCACAGAATTTCCCCATAATGAGGAGGAAGCACTCTATAGATTGAAATAAACCCAGACTTGGCACAAATGTGGAGTTAGCAGACAAGATATCCAAAGTTAACACACCACTGCAGTTCACATGTTCAAAGAGTTTGGTTGGTGTGTGCAATATATAAAAACACCCAAGTCGACCTTCTAGAGATTAAAACTACAGTTTCTGGGATGACGAATTAACTGCCTCCATCCCTCAGTATCTGTCAAGACCCTGCTTTGCATAGTCTTATATAAATTGACAGAAGGTAATATTTGCATATAAACACTGCATCCTCCCGCATTTTATCAACTCTAGATTACTTCTAATATCTCACACAATATAAATGTTGTGTCAATGGCTGTCATATTGCATTGTCTAGGGGATAATAGCAAGAAGAAAGGTCTGCATGCTCAGAACAGATGCAATTTTTGAAAAGATTTTCAGTTCATAGTTGGTTGAATTGCAGAGCCCAGGGGTGTTAAGATTATACTGTGCCTGATATTAATTGGAGATCAGATGTTATAGAAGAGATTAGAGTACTCACAACAATACAATAAAATTGTGCAAAATGAAACACAGAAAAGAGAATCAGTGAAAATTACCAGGAAGTAGTGGGATAGATTCAATAGAGTGATATGGGTTAATCATGTTCCTGAAGGAGAGAGAAGAAAATAATGCTTGAAAACATAAGTTAAATGGTTGTTAACTTATTTATATCTGTTTATGCTTACAAATTCACCGGTGGGAGATGCCCAGTGACTCCCTAATACTCGGTCACACACACAAATGCACACACACCGTGAAAATTACATCAAGACAAATCATAACGAAACTTGCCGGATCCATTGATGGGAAAATCTTAAAAACAGCCAGTCAAAAAGACACAGTATACACTGAGTCACGAAAGTAAGGCTGACACCGAATGCCCAATAATAAGGGTAAGGACAACAGCAGACCTTCCTGCTAAGCTTGGACTTTCTTTCCTGCTTCCAACTGGACATTTCTTCCTGGTTGCCCTTGGAAACCTGCAGCTCATCTTGTCCCATGTCACACTGAATTCCCTACCACCATTGTTCCTTTGATAGGCATCTATGACTGAGCAGGACTTGCAGCCCTCAGCTGCTGACCTTCAAATAGCTTGGCTCCCAGAGGTCTCCAGAGAGCTGGCTAAGTTTTACTCCCCCTCTTGGCAGTTTCCTGCCAAGTTTCCAAGGGCCTGGGCGAGACCTGTATCCAGGACTCCGCTACCCTTCTTGCCATAGCTCCCTGCAGTGGACTGCACTCTGCCCAAGGGCAGGCATCAGAGTCTGAACTGTTGACCACTGAATACCCAGCACTGGGGAAGGAAGGGCCCTGCCACCTACAGGAGGGCTAGAGAGGAAGCATGCCTCTATGACTACAGTCTGGTGTAGATAGGGAAGCCTCTCATATGTGTGAGTGGAAGGAAGGAAAAAGGAAAGCGAGAAGGGAAGAGAATAGAGGAAAAACGGAAGGAGCAGGCAGGAAGAGGAAGACAGGAGCATGCAAAGACTAGAACTTGATGAGGCTTTGCAGAATCTTAGAAGACGGTTCACAAAAGGAGACTTCAGAGGCTGAAGCAAAGGCAGTGGGGGACCAGCAGCTGTGGGCCTCCATAGAAGCGTGCGTGAGACCTTCTAGGTGACCAGATGTCCCAGATTCTTGCACAACCAAGCCTGCTCTGACTTCAGGTTCTATTTAATGTCAGGCCACGCCAAACAGTTCCCACCATGTGTGTGCAGGGATCTCCCCCATGACTTACAGCCTAGGAGGTGATGCTAAGTTCCGAGTCCCCCCAACTAAATTTTCCTGCCTGCACTGAGAAGCTTTTCCTGAGCTTTCCATCCCCGGGACCCGTAGACTCTCTCTAGCTCCTGGAGACATCCACTGCCAGGATCCCAACCGACATGACCTTCTGCTCTCCACCAAACCCCTATTGCCACAGTGTCTTATCTTGAGAAAGGGACATCTTGCCCCACATATGCTCACTCAGAATTTAGCAATCAGAGTCATCCAGGACTGATGGCACATCCTCATAATCTCTGCACTCCAGGAGGCTGAGGCAGGAAGATTGCAAGTTCAACCTCAGCCTAGGAAATTTAACAACCTAGAAAAACTCTGTCTCAAAGTAAAATGACTGGAGATTTAGGTCAGGACAAAAGCTCTGAGTTCAATCACCAGTATCAGAAAACAAAAAAGGAAAGAAAAGAAACTTATACATTGTCCTTGATACCTCCCACCTAGTCTTCAAATCTTGCTGACTCTCCTGCTGAAATCTCTCCAGCACTTTCTCCATGCAGCCAAGTTCTCAGTCTCCTCTGTCTGCCAATGAGTGCTAAGGGGTAGCTTGTGGGGAAGGAAGGGCCTGCCACCTACAGGAGGGCTAGAGAGGAAGCATGCCTCTATGACTACAGTCCGGTGTAGACAGGGCCTATATACGCTGCTCCAGACTCAAACTGAAAGCCAAAGCAAAGTACTGGGCCCTCAGCAGCCCTGAGCACCTGCCTGGCTTGCTGCCTGGCTCCAGAATCTTCCCTCAGCCAGGGCTTAGCTGTCAAAGGGTTTGCCTGAACCCTGGTCAGGGAGTCTTCAAAGGCCAAAAGCAAAGGCTGCCATGCCAGCAGGGTTTCTGGGAGTAGTGCCGCAGAGCATTAAGGCTTCCCTGCCTGGGGGTTCCTAAAGCAGCACACCCCATGGCTGAGGCGGGGCTCCAGCAGGGAGGCAGAGGAGGCAGTTATGGGGAAAGGCTCAAGGGCGCCCCAGCACCCTCTACAGAACCAGGCCCTCACCAGCCACACCACCCCCACCCTACCCCACCCCCATCCGTTCCCTCCCTCCCACCCCTCCTCACCTTCCTGAGCGGTGACAAAGGCTCAGCTCCCTCAGGGCAAGCCTATATGGCACTCACTGTGACTGTACTCCTAAAGCCGCCAGGATTTCACTTCACTACTCTGACAGGCCACAAATTCGCCCAAATGACCATTTTCCTCAGCCCCTGGTTGGGCTGTACACACCAGAGCCCATGCCAAACCCTGCCCACAGCCCACACACTTCCTTAGGCTCCAGCCCCAGTCCCCATGGAGGGCACCAGCCTGTGACCACAGGAAGGTGTCAGCTTCCTCACCAATCAGATGGCTTCAGCCAATATCCGATGGTTCATCCACACCGCCTCCAGTCAGAAGCTCGCCCTTGAAGGATGTTTTCCCGCCCAGGGCCAGTAGGGCTCCAGATCCCTCAACAATGCAGCTGGCAGCCTCTCAGTCTGGAGCTGTCTACTCAGCCTGACTCCAGGGATGGAGGCTGGCAGGCCCAGAGCAGCTCATGCCCAGAGCTTAGGTGAGCTCAGCACTGGCCCAGGGTGCCTCCTGCCCCCTGGAGAAGCTGTCCTACCAGGTGGCCTTGCACACCCAAGGCTGTCAGGTTGTCGGCAGCGGGTAACGGGTGGATGCTGGCTGTCTGTTGTGGAGGCTGCTTCTCAGCCTAGACCCGGGAGCTGGCCCCTCCCAGGTCCCCCAAGGGACTCTCCTAGAGTATGCTCAGGGCTTTGTACCTGGAAACCGCCAGCTCACACTCACAGCCACCACACACCTGCCCTAAGGTGGTGCCATAGGCGAGAAGCCAAGTGAGAGACTTGAGCCAGGGGTGCAGCTGGACTGAGGAAGAAGCCATTCCCTCCCTCCAAGACCCCCTAGAACTTGGCCTCCAAGAGGGGCTGGGCCAAGGAAGGGAACTAACAGAGAGTCTCATGGCAGTAGGGTACACCAGAGCTCCTCCCACATATCCTGTCCACCTTCTCCAGCCATAAGAAAGCCATAGGGATACGGAAGCATTGGAATATTACTTTTCAACTTTTGTCCAGGGCTGGTGAAGACCACAAACCAGGTGGGTGGAACAGAGTGTGACCTAGGGCTCACACTTTCTGCACCCACTCAGAGGCTCCAGGCTCCGAAGATGAGCCTCACCTTCAGGGGTTGCATAGAAAAGCTTAAGTGACATCCAGTACACAAAGCCTGGGGCGCAGGCAGGTACAGGTGATCTATCTGTGACAGCATAAGATTGACAGGCACGTGCATCCTGCCAAGGGTGAGTTATCTCCCTGTAGGGACTTGAGCCTGGGGGCAAGGTGTCCTGTTAACTGCTTTTAGGAGACTGTACCCGTGCATGACACACACAATTACTTGTAAAATGCAGTATACATGACACAAAGCGTGTATAATACCAAGTGGTGGTCAGAACCAACTTCCCTTGCTGGGGCAGGTGTTTTGTAGAAAGGGCACCCTAAAAGACAGAGGGGTATAACCTGGCCAGAGGTTCCCCTCGGGAGTCTCTGAGGCTTTCCTGTGGGGTGTGAGAACTGACCCCCAGCCCTACCAGCCAGGAGCCAGCCAAGCAGCCGCAAGGCAGGGCAGGCTCCCTAGCTCCAGCTCTGAGCCGTTCCTCCGGGGGCCATGCTGTTTGTTTGCAGCTCAGCTAAATTGCTCCTGGGGGAACCTTTGGTTCACAACACATTTCCAACCAGACCTTTTCTGCAAACATGTCTGTGTCTACGCAGGCACACACCACACCCAGGCCCCAAAGCGCAGACCTGGTCCTGCCCGCCTGCAGCCTTTTAATGCTTAATGCCCCTCTGCCTCTTGGGCCCTAGCCTGCCCCAAGGCTGCAGGGTGGAGGGGACGTCTGCAAGAAGAATCCCCAGCCCTGCTTCTAGGCCTGGTGCGATTCTTGGGTTTCTGGGGCCCTTTTGCAGGGGCATAGGGCCCTTGGCTCTCCTATAACCCGGTGTTGCTGTCTCCCTGTTCTCTGTATCCCCTGCATCCCACTGCACCCCACTGTCCTCTGTTCTGCGCTGAATAACCAAGAGTCAGTTCACTCAGAGTCCTCCTTTAAGCTTTCGGCAAGGCTGAGGTTCTGGGGCACAAGCACAGCACCCCACAGGTCTGGACTGGGGGGGCGCTGCATCTTGTCCCAGAGGGACTGCAGTCTCTAGAGTGTCCAGAGAGGAGGCTGGACATGATACAGGGCTCATCTGAGGACCAGAAAGGCGTGGACACTACGGAACAGGGGAGCAGGGGAACCGGCTCTGGCCTAAAGCCTCTTCTTTCCCCGCTGCATCCTCTCTGTCACTTCCTTTGCCTCTCCTTCTCCTTCTGTCTCCTTCCCTCTTTCTTTTTTTCCCCCTCTCTCTTTTCCTCTCTTTTCTCTCCCCCAGATGTTTCTGTTCATTTCGTATCTGACATATCTGACGTACCTGGCACTCCCACCTTGTAGGTGAAGGAGTCTTGGCAGGTTTGGGAGACAGGAAAAGGCCCACTTAGCTACAAAGCTAACGAGAATGTTCCAGGTTCTCATTTGTTAAGGTTTAGATCTAAAATATGTCACCAAAGTCCTGCGTGTTTGGGAGGTGATTGGATCATGGCTAGCTCCATCAGGGGATTCAGCCAGGGATGACTTCACAGCTGAATGTGCCGGGAGGGAGTGGGCCCTGGTCGGACGTGGTCACTGAGGGTGACCTGAGAGAGAGGATTCTTGAGCCCAGCTCCTCCTTTGGTGGCCTGCCTCCTGGTTGCCCTGGACTAAGCAACTGCCTTCCACCACACCTTCCCACCATGCTGTTTCTGCCTCAAAGCCAGACTCGGACTGAACCAGTGGAAGCTTCTAACCAAAATAAAATTTGCTGTCTTTAAGTTGTGAGTAACAAGTATTGTGACTCGGTGATGGGCAAGTGATTATCACGGCCCCCCGGACAGATGTGTATTGATGCGTTGGTCCCAGGAAAAGCAGCAGCAGCTCTTGCACAGGTCTCTGTCAACACCCTGTGCTTGGCCCCGCCCAAGGTGCACTTTAAGGGGCTGTGGCCCCAGTCTCGGGCTACTCTGCCTCCCGAGCTTCGTCAGGACTCCACGCACAGGGAGTCTGCAGGAAGCAAGCCGCTCCCCAGTCTGTGATTCAGGAGACCAGCCCAGCCCGGGCCCTGTCTCTGAGTGTCTCCCATCTCTGGGACTCACTTTCCTCCTGCACAAGTTGAGCAGTTCCCGGCTCCTCTCAGAGTCTCCGCCATGCCCTGCAGAGCTGTGTCCTCATGAGCAGGCACTGGGAGAAACCAACAAGGAAGCCCTGGGCCTGGGCTGGGGTCAGTGAGGAAATGAGGGCACCACAATTCCCGGGTGACGGTGGCAGCCTGGTCGCAGCCACCCCATCTGACTCTGAACCCTCCGCGCTGTCAGTGAGCCTCAACCACCAGGTCACCGCTGTCACTTAATCTTTACTGTGCATTGGCAGAGCCCAGTGTACAGTGCGGAAGCAAATGCAGAAAGAAAGCCAAAGTCAAAGCAGAAGATGGAACAGGAGGGACAGTGAGGCCACAAAGCCCGCCACTTATGTCACTGTAATGGGAGACGTCACTATCCTTTGCCTCCAAAAGTCCTCTGTGCCACCAGCCTGCTCAAAAGCACAGGGGTTGGGCAGAATGAGAAAATGACCCAACACTGTCTGGGAGCTGGGAGCTGGGAGCAGGGAGCAGGGTGGCCAAGGGCATGGGAGCACAGGCAAGGGGTGAGGGCAGGTGGAGGGCGAGCTCGGGGTGGCTGTGGCCACGGCTTCAATGGTGGATCCACAGCCACAAGTTGGCAATGCAAGCTGACACCATCACTGTGAACAACACTGCCTCCTTGAAGCACCAGGCAGCATGATGATCTTCGAGGGCACACATGCGATCAGTGATCACCAGCAGCTGTGGAGAGACCAGAGTCAGGGCTGGGGAGCAGGACTCTGCCTGGGGGCCCAAGGCACAGGGAGGTTACTCCAGCCCATGCCAGCTGCTGCAGGGGACAGGAGTGACACAAGAACAAAAAGGCCCATTGACCTAGGACTGATTGCCTTCCAGCATGTCAGGGACAGAGGAAGGAGTGAGGGTGGGCACCAAGGTGGGTGCCACTGAACCTGACCCCGCTTCACATGCCACAAGCTGAGATTCGTACACAGGCTCTGCAGACACAAGGGCATGCCCCTCGCTCCTGTGTGCCCAGCCTTATATACACTCCCTAAGCCCAGCTGTGGACACTGCCCCCACCACCAGCATGCTCACCTGTCTTCTTACGATTTCCATCTCCACTCCATTGAGGTTTGCCAGGTCAATCTCTGCCATAATATCTGTCCTCAGGTTTCTGGGGGAAAAGAAAGGACAAAAGGGCAGAGCTGCCAGTGGTCCCAGACTGGGTCTGGCAGAGAGCAAAGCCATGTGGGCAAGCAGGGTAAACCCAGGGGCTTCTCTGACAGGGATTCTGCCAGCCTGCGGTCTTTCCTGTTCTTGGTAAAGAAGGACTAGGTCTTAAGAGTAGGAAGCCAGTCATGTCAAGCCTGCCATGAAGTATCTGGAGGCCCCACGTGGACAGAGGCAATGACCCCAATACTCCAAGGACCCGTGACTGCTTCCCAAGCAAGCTGCTATCTCAACCAACCGAGCCTTAAGGTGCTCCAGCTCTTACTGATTTTGATGGCCTTTGAAGCTGTCAGGATACTCCTTGAAAAAGCCATTACTGCGGCCTGGCTTTCTGGACCTCCTGGATGCCTGTCTCTGGTGCTCCTACAGAAAGGAAGGGGTGCTCTAAGCCACCAGCTTGGCCCCACCTAGGTGGTTTCCCCACACAATGTCCAGAACCGATGGCAGACCCCATGGTGCACCCCAGTCACGTGATGCTTGGCCCTCTGGAATCAGGAGCTGGCAGCTTGAGAACACTAGCAAAGCCTGGGAACCCACAGGTATGCTGTGTGCCACCACACCACCCTCACCTTGTTTCTTAGTAGTCCCTGCCCTTTCAGGCTGTCGTGAGGGAAAAGTAGTGACAAGGGTCTCTGTCCCCTGCCAGAACTTTACCTGAAGACATCACCTGAAAGTCCAAGCAAGCTACTGGGCAGAATGCAAAGCTTACTCTTTTTTTTTTTTATTCCCAAGAGGTCACTGACCTCTTATTCATTGGGGACAGAAGCATTTCAGCATTTATCCTTTCTCTGCAACTTTGGTGCCTTTCCCCAGCAGCTTTTTCGCCTGTACAGTCACTATGTTCGCATAATTTCCCTGACCCACAGGATTGCCCCTAAAGGATCGGCCACAGAAATGAGGGACACAGGAGATTCCCTCGAGCAGTCGGTTTTCTGTTCTTCTCCACCCTTGCTGCCTTTTCCCAGTAATCTTTGCAGTAATAATTACAATCAACTTTCTGAAACCTCTCCTCACTCAAGGTGACTACCATTTAAAGATTCTACCCCGAAACATGAGGCTCATGTGAGTCCTCATAATAGGCAGGCAGGTCTCCTTCTGAGGCCAGCTTTATATACACTCCCTAAGCAATATGTGTGCAGACATTCTGGACTCCCAGTGTTGAACTCCCAGAATGCCAAAGGACAGCTCTGACCTTTTACTAGACCATCCCCCTCCCCACCCTCATTTGCCTGCTTGGCAAATCAACTTCCGGCCCCACTTGATCCTGAATGGTTAGAGAGGAATCTCTACAACCAGTACTTCCTACCCCACCCCAGTCAAGGTGTGCCAAAGACCCCAGACAATATCACCTTTCTGGCCCCGGGGGCATTTGCATTCCAAGATGATTGGGCTAAAATGGCGGCAGTAGCCTTTGGCTTTGGCTTTCGAAGCCTCTGAGAGACACTCAGGGACAGGGATTGACGATCCAGTACATCTAGAGAAAAGAAAAGAGAACCTAGGAACACCACAAAAGTTGTACCAGAGCCTGGAGGGCACAAGACATACCAGATACAAGACAGGGTCGCAAGATTTCTTAGGAATCATTCAATGACCACTGACCACTCAAGATCCCAGATCTGTTTGTTCATCTGTTCAGAAGACCAGGAAGTATTTACTGACCACCAAATTCTGGCCTTGGTGATGGGAGAGAAAGAGCAACAACCAAGAGACACGATCCCATCCATGAAGGAAGTGAAGATGTACAAAGGAGACTGGGAAGCACAAAACAGAAAACAGTCCTTCAGTGCGAACTCACAAGAAATTCTCCCAGAGTGGCGAAGGCAGGGTGACATGGTGGAAAGGAATTCCTGCCTCTGGAAAAGTAGGAGCCGACACTGAGGAGGAGACAGGGTTCACTTGAGGGGATCTAGGGCAGCAGCAGGCACAAAGGCTGGAGGGAGAAGCAGGCTTAGGCTGTTAGGAGAATGAACGTAACTGTCGTGTGGAATTTCCGTGTATGTCACAGCAGGAAATATATTGAGGAGCTGGCCCTGATAGGATCTTGTAGATCATGGAGTGTGGATGTGACTCAAAAGGGCTGGAGAAAGGACTGATCGATCTTATAAACAGTCCCCAAAACGTATTGCAGTAGACCCAGTGCTGGCTGAGATGAGGGGAAGAGAGAGGAAGCACAAGTGTTTTTCCCACCCACCACCCACTTGGACTGCAAACTTCTCACATCCTTTCTTCTTCTCAACTCCTGTGCTACCAGAAAACAAATACCCCAAGGCCCAGACACATACATGCACATGACAACAATGCATACAGATGCATACATGCATACATCTGAGCGTCACACTTTCTCCAACATACACACACACGCGTGTGTGTAGACAGAGGTCTGTGTGCATTGGCCGGAGCCAGAGAACATTTTGGGGATCCTCACCAGGTATCATCAGGCTGTTTTGGCCTTGCCTAGGGCCTCCAGGCACCAGTTCCTCCTGCATGCACATTTCAATCTGCTCCTCGATGTTGGGAAGACTAGAGGCCATCACCCACAGCTACTCCGTTGTATGGCTCAGCTGAGAATGTACAGGCACCAGGCACAGAGGAGGCACTCATATGATCCCTTCTTCTGGGGGAGGAGTGTAAGGAAGACAGACCCAGTCATGGAGGTGGGGCCAGACTCTCTGGGCTCAGGCCTTGGACTTGGCACCTCCTGTTCCTGCTGTATCTACTTTGCTGGGACAACGTCCTTTTCCCCTGCTGCTCTGTAAGCAACTTAGAGGAAGAGATACAAGGCCGAGCCTTTGCCCTTGAGAGTCACCATAGCTCACAAACCCTTGATTCAGTAGGCAGATGGCAGATAGAGACTACGACAAATAAATGACATGTCAGTTCCTAAAATTCCCTGGACCTTATCCTCCTTACAGGAAGCCATTACTAAAGTTATGATCATAAATACCCTGTTGATTGTATTATTTGACTCTTGCATACTTAATTGATTCTACAGATACCTTCAACTGCGGGCCAGATCCCAAGACAAAAGGCTAAACTTGGCCCTCAAACCTCACAGGGAGACCTTCTTAATACGGCTTTTCATGTTTTCAACAACAGAGATAAAAAATAACAATCTGATCTTTTAGCAGTGACACTTGGAGCTCTGAGACAGGTAAACCATCACAAAGTGGAGCTGCCTGGGCCCCTCCTGGACCATGCTTCAAATGCAGCAGAAGGACACTGGGCAAGAGAATGTCCATCCTGGCGTTCCTTTGGGGCCTTACCCGAGGGCTACTGGACTGTCTTAGCCACCAGAGAGTGGATAAGCCATCCTCTTAACTTCTAGCCCTAACAGGAAATGCCATCGTTGCCAGATTCATCGCTGACAGATCTGCTTGGACTTGCTGCTGAAGACTGATGGGGCTCAGAGTCCACAGCCCCCATTAAGGTGTCCTTCTCAGAACCCCAAGTCCCACTGGAGGTCTCAGGTAAGATATTCTCTATACTTGTGGACATAGAGGCCATGTATAGGGTTCTTCCTGAGTTTTCAGACCACTATATTAAGTCCTCAGTCTCTATAGGGGGTGTTGATGGCCAATCTATGCAGCTTTTACAGACAGGGCCTATTTTATGCAGGTTCCAGACTCGCTGCTTCTCTGATCAATCCCATAGTTTGAGATACCTCTAACCCCACCTGCACAGCCCATGCCATGTCTATTTTAATTCATCTAAGGGATCCTTCAATTTTTCCTTAGTTCCCCAATATCCTATAGCTTCCAAATGTTTACAGGGACTTAAACCTATAATTAAGCGCCCTTTAGACAATGGTTTTCTTAAACCTACCCATTCACCACTGTAACCCTCCCATTCTCCTGGTACTCAAGCCTGATGGGTCTAGTACAAGACCTTAAGATACTAGTACAAGACCTTAAGATACTCAATAGTGCTGTTACCCCAATCCACCCAGTGGCGCCAAACCCTTATACCATGATCTCTTATATCCCTCCCTCCACCACTCACTTTATAGTTCTAGATCTTAAAAATGCCTTTTTATTCCTTTGTGTTTATGCAGACTGACCCACACACTCTGAGGTCTCAACAGCTTACACCCGTTATCTCTAGTAAAACCTCTCCTCAGGGACACACAGCACCCCCTTCCTTTCCTAGTCATCAGTTTCTCAAACACAACCCTGGTCAAGACTAAGATAAATTTTACTCACCTGCTCTGCCACAAAACTCTCAAATGTCTTCTCACCTTTGTTTGTACTTTTTCAGGATAAATAAAAGCCTTTCCCACAATCAGGGAGACTGCTGATACACTTACTAATGCCCTGTTACATAAAACCATCACAAGGACTACAACCAAGGTGGAGTAGCCCATACCTGGTCTTCTTGGCAACCTCAACAGCAGTCAAAGTTGCTAGACTGCCATCCTGGTTTCACATCACTCAGGCTAAGTGGTGACCTCCCAGCCCTAGATCTAACCATCCTTTTGCTCACTCATCTCCACCTCACCAAGGCCTCATAGCCACAACTCTCAGGCTAAGTCATGTTTTGTTATCCAATTTGGTTCCCAATTTCTTACATTCTATTAATTAACCTTTGTACAACAGGACTCTCAACAGTCTTTCCTAAAGACTCCCACATCATGCATAAGATCATCTTCATGTTGTTCTACTTGACAACTCTCTTAGTTCTCTCTGCCCTCAGCTGTTTGGTCAAATGTGAGATCCCTGAAGGCAGGCTCTTACCTTCCCTACACAGCCATGGCCTTCCCCACCCCTCCTATTCTTTTCAGCTCAACTCCTGAACCAGAGACAAGCCTTACCTACCTCCCCTCTTAAATTTTACCCTTCCAGATGGGGGAATAATCACCTCTCATAACTTTACTCCTCCTAACCCCACACTTATTTTTCAGAATTCTACCTCACCGTGGCAATGATTCTACCTCAACATGGTCCTGGTAAAATGTTGTTTCTAAATCAAAGGCACCTTTCCTTCTACCTCACTTGGGTCCTTAAACATGATTAGTGGCCCACCTCCTCATATAACACCTTGTGTCTTTGTTTTTGCAGTCTAACATGCAAGCGTTCACCAGTGATAAAGTTGTCTTGGTTAAAACAAGTGGCACCAGCTTCTGCATGGGCATCAACCATCATCCCGTTGACACTCCTAAACCCCATTACAGAACCCCCTTTCAGCAGGAAACACTAAAAGAAAGAAAAACGTCACCCTTTTTCCAAGTGATAAAAAGATGGGAATGAAAGGATTTTGCCCTAAATGGGACACTGCAGGGGCGTGAGGCTGGAAGGCAGAACCCAGGGGCTCTACCTTGAGGTCACTTTCCCCGCCCCTAGGCAATTTACCTGTGGTGCGAAATGAATTCCAATGGGCTATTTGTGCATCAGTAATGCCCTTTAGACTCCACCCCAAACCTAAGCTATATGTATGCCCACCACAACATGTTCCCGGCAGAGAGAAAGCCAGACCTCAGTGGTGGGGGGGGGGGTCTCTCTTCCCATTCTTAAAATAAAGGCCACTTTTATTTCATATTTCCATCTTTTTAGCCACGCCGAAAATTCTATCAGAGATCACCTCCGTCACTTCTAGGGAGAGGCAGGGACTGGTCCAGAACCTGAAAGGTAGTTACCAAAGCAGGACCAGGCCCTCGTCTGATGCCTGCAAAGGCCACCTTTGGCCCATAATCCAGGTCATACCATCCCAACAAAGGGCTTCCTTATAGCACACACCTTTCCTCTTCCAGGCCCAAGTCCCCCAGGCAGAGGAGAGGGTCTCATCCTTATCTGAGTCAGCTTGACAGAGAAACCATGAGAATGAAGGGAGGGAAGGAGGACAATACAGGAGGGACCCGCTGCAGCCACTGGAGCCCCATGGACACGGGCCCTGCACTCCTTGTCTCAGTTCCCACTCAGCTCCCTCAGCTGACCGCTGAGAGCATCAGGGTCATGTGCCAGCTTGGCAGTGCCCAGGAAGCCCCTCAGACACAAGGCGAGGAGCTATCATTGCAGTATTTTGTAGCCAACTCTGAGTAAAACACCTCCCCTCCATAACACAGTGGGCCTTCACCCACAAAAGCCTTAAAAGTAGTGATTGGTGGGGCTGGGGATTTAGCTCAGCGGCATAAGCGCCTGCCTTGCAAGCAGGCAGTCGTGAGTTGGGTCCCTGGTACCGATAAAAAAGAAAAAGACAAAAAAAAAAGTAGTGACTGGTTTCCCTAAGGAAGGGGAATTTCTGCCTGAGGGCTGCGTTGTCAACTCCTGCAAGGGTTTCTGGCCTGCCAGTCTGCACTCCATCAGCTGCACAGCCACACCTCTCCACGAGTATGTGCATATCCGGATACATGTGAAAGTGACAGTTGACCGGAGCCGTGGGAGACAGGAGACCAAACTCGAGCAGGATCAGCTCTCAAACTTTATTACGTACAGCGAACCGGACCTGACAAGGTCCGCCACCCTCAACGTTGGTTCCTCTTCCGCCGTTGGGGGCAGGAACAACCTCTTATAAGGGGAAGCAGTATCCAATCACAGAGAAGCGCGCCTAACAAGCTGATAGGCTAGCGTCACGGGTAACTGGGCAGATATGACAATTTGGCGGGCTTGTTCAGGCCGGGAAGAACCCGGAAGCAGGAAATGGGCGCCATCATAGGCGGCTTCTGTAAATACATAAAACACGTATTGCAGTAAAACACTGTGCTACTGCCCGGCCCCAGTGCCCTATTCACCCCTCCTCAAACACGCTCACTTATTTAGCATTTTTGCCACTTTCTCAAGCAGTTCTAGAAGTCCCCATACCTGAGTGCCATCAAAACTACGGTGAATGCTGCTGCCAAGTGCCATCCAACCAAAAGACAAGCTGGAAAAGCATCACAGCGTCCTCAGTCACTGTGTTCCTGTGTGCTCCATGCTGGGCAGTCCAACTCCTTCCCAAAGTAAACATGATCGGACATGGAGGCAGGCAGGACAAAGCAACTACAGACACTCAGGAAGGAGCACTTGCGGAGCTGCTTCAGACAGCAGCAAAAATAATGGGATATGTGTGTTTAAAGCCAGGGGTAGTGTTTTGAGGGGATGCATGGTGCTGTGTCTTTTACTCTACTTACCTTTTTTTTCACTTTAAACATTTGTGGCAGTTTTGGATCATCGCACTGGTATACTCATACGTCTTGTTGGTTCTGTTACTCGGAGAATTTAATCCAACTATCAGTGCTCAGGGCTGCTGAGGGAATAGGAGGCTATCAGCGAAACAAAGAAAGTACAGAGGGGGCCCAGGTGGGAGAAGGAGGCTGAGCAGGAGGGAGGAGGTAGCAAGAGGAAGGCAAAGAGAGAAAAGGAGAAGAAAGGGAGGGGAGAGACTAGCTTACAGAAGGGGTCCTCCTTGGAGCTGCCTGCCTGACCCCAGCCCTCCATCCCAGCAGGAAGCACACAAGCCCTGCCTGCATTCCAGGGCTTGCAAGATCTGGGGAAGCAGCTGCAGTGAAACCTGAGCTGTCTTGGAGGGCCATCTTAGGAACCAAGGAGCTGCTGAGTATACATGGTGGGGCCTTCTGTTTTTGTCCGGCCACAGTTGTCAGATCGAATAAATAAAAATAAAAGGCAAGGAAGTTTGAAGTT